AAACACATTTAGTTTGATTGGCCACCCAAACATGGGATCTCCAACATGCTTTAGTCAAATGTTCTTCAAAACGACATTTTGCCGAGTGCCAACGCGTGGGGCGTCTAAACACTTAAAGCGTCAAAATACTCTTTCTCATTGTTTTAGCTGATTGATTATATTAGTCATGATCGCGGTACAGTTGGTCCACCGTAGCGACTTAAATCAAACCTACTCAAAACAATTTGGCAGTTTCATACACTGTCACATTATTTATCTATACTCAAATCATTTCACATGCTTATGTCAATTTCGGTTTTTTGTCAGTTTTATTCAGGTTTACAAAAACATGTCTAGATAGCACATCCACCATTTTCATAGTTCTAAATTTTAATCTTAATTATACTGTAGTTTTATAATCAGACAATAGATATATAAAAAAAACTTTTAAAATATGTTCACAAATATTTGGAGGAAATAGTCAACGTGTTGACTAGCAGACCCACGATTTTCAAAAACAGGCTAAAATTACACACGCACAATTCGTGTTCTAGACATCTTTAAGTTCATACAAAGTGTAACTAAGCAGAGAATTTTCTGCTGTGCTTCGTAATGGCAACAATAAGAATCACCAGAATAGCGGAAGTGCAGCATATTTGGAATACAGCAGGTAACCTGGACTACTTATGTATCCAGATCAATGTAAACGCTATCTGTATTTTTTGCCGTGAATATAATGTAAATCACACGAAACCACAAGTACTAAAAACAGGACGCCACCTTGACATGTCCTGCTACCAGCCACATGGGAACGAGACGTCTACTTTGAAAATTTTCTCGGTAAGAATGCAATCATTGATAATAATTTACTATGATACGTAAAATCTTCATTGCAAGTATTTGTATTGTTAGAGGAAGTGGTCCGAATATGAGCCCCCCATTTGTTTTTTTTTATAAATTTTGGAAACTTACGAATAAATATCCAGTAAATTACACACTGCACGCTCAAAGGTTTACCTTATGGTATATTAAAAAGGCATTATCAAAAAAATTAAATTTAGGTCGAATTTGTGTCAACACTTAAATTATGTACAGATCTACTTTTGGATTAGACTGCGTGGAATATGGGCCCTCTAGTAAAATAATTGACAGGTATCTAACAATTTGAAAAAACATATATTTTTCAAATAAAAAAAACTGAAAATGAAAATGAAAATACATTTCAACTTAAAAACTAAATATTACACGCAAAAGTCACAAATATATGCATCTTTTTCGGCACCTGAACATTGTTCGTGAGCCCATTGATTGCACATGAAGCATTGAATCCATAGCTCTCCTCTCTGGTCATCGGAAAAGCAACCATCACAAAATAGGCATGCTGTATCACAGTCATCAGGAACAGATTTGCCAATTTCGTCGATATCCATATCTTCATCGTCTGGGACAAACTCGTGACTTTCATCCTCAGAGTCGTTGACTTTATTGTCTTTTGCTTGCTGTCTTTTTTTGTTAGTTGTCTTCTTTGCTTTTGATTTTAAAAAGACTTGTCGTTTGGTGCTTGCTTTCTTAGGCGTGTTGGTGCAGGATTTCTCTAACTCATCCTTGTAGGGGGAAGAGGTGATCACTTGCGATTTAGTTGATTTTCTTCCCCGAGTGGTATTTTTCTTTGTGACAGAAGGTACAGGTGAAATGTCAAATGGTGAGACCAATTTAACGGAATTTTCCTTTCCTGGAACAGATGGTCTAGAGAAATTGGAATTTGACGGCGACGATGTTGCCTGGGATTGTAATTTAGCTGTATCGTCCCAAAGAGAACATCCTGGCTGAGGTTCTGGGGTACCATGCTGGGGTTCTGTTGTGACAGGCTGCGCTTGAGGAAAAATGTTGCAGTTTTTCTCAGCCTGAATTCGTTCAGATATAAAATCTGCTTCAGAAAAAATGTGACGGTTGAACGGATATATTCCCGTCGCCCTAAAACCACTAGCAGCTATTTCGGCACACTGTGATTTTAAAAAGGCTTTACCTAAAAGTTCTGCCAAGTCAAACTGTGTGAGGGCTCGTTGGTTAACACGAAGCCAATTTCTAATTTCCTCACTGTAATAAGCCTTGAAACTTCCCATGAATGTTTTATCAAGGGGTTGTAATTTATGAGTTGAGTGAGGCGGCAAAGAGATAATGGAAATATGATTTTCACGAGCTAGTCGAATTACTTCTAAGTTTCGTGTGTGGCTATAATGGCCATCTAACACTAGCAGAACTGGACATTCTTTTGTTGGTTTAACAAATTTTATGAAATGCCTCATCCAATCGGAAAACAAATTCTGTTGCACCCACCCACTTGGATGTACTGCATAGATTGAACCTGGAGGAGCCCCTCGCATCAGCTGTTCGTTGCGATTTTTTCTCGGGAAAATTAACATGGGCGGTACAAATTGACCTCCAGCGCTCATTGCAGCTATAAACGTAACTAGTGAACCCCGTTCGGCTGAGGTAATTGAAGCAATTTGCCGTTTTCCTTTTCTTCCCACCACTGATGCCACCTTACTTTGAACAACTGAAAGCCCAGTCTCATCTACATTGTAAATTTGGTGAGGCGAAAAGTTATTTTTTGAGTATTCACTCTGCAAATTGTCAAAAAATTGCTCCACATTTTCCTTATTGAAGCCTAATGCTCTAGCGAAGGAAGTTCCTGTTGGTCTTCGAATAGAAAGTACACTTTTGTGACGTAGTAAAAATGCATCCAACCAGCTTCTCCCCGCCACACCATTTTTAAATGGATGAGCTATTCCATTACAAACAGCTAAGACATATGCCATTTTTCTAATGTCCTTTCTTGTGAGACCATAGTAAGTAGCTTCCATGGACAAAACATATTGAACAAGTTCTTCCTCCAGTTCTTTTCCTAATGTTGTCTTTCTTCCTAGTTGAGTTTTAACTACGTCACTAATATTTAAGTTACCTTCCTTTTGTTTTTTTAACAGTCTTTGAAGTGTAGATCGTGGCACGCTGAACTGTTTGCTTGCAGTTTTAAGACCCATTATTTTGTTATTAACACCGTCCATAGCCTTAACCATATCTTCACGTCTCCATGTTTGTCTTAAGTTCTTTGAAATAAACTTCGCCTTGCTTCGTGGCATAATGAACTGCAAAAACAACTTTATTAAGACTTGGTCCGAATATGAGCCCTGTCCCATAATAGGACCACGGTAGGGGCCCATATTAGCAACATTCCATCTGAATATTTAAAAGCATTCAATTTCTTCTCAATCCATTATTAGGTTAGTTTTTATGTTGGGATATCAAATACTGATCACTATTCTAACATACTAACACATCAACTCACCAGTTTTAAACATAAACGTTAATAAATAGCACAAAAACACTTACCGTAAAATATTTGTTGAACTACACAAATAAACTTATGTCACCTGATACTATAGAGATACACACGAGACTGCGTGCATAAACAGAAAAATGTTTGGGGGTCTAGTAGAAGTATTTTAGTACGAAATTCATAGATGTCGCGACGTGCTCTAGTTGAAATATATTGGGGGCCCATAATAAGTGCAGGGCTCATATTCGGACCACTTCCTCTATGTGTCCTTGTTAGTTTACAATTTTATTTTCCTTTTTTTAATATATTTAGAATTAGATGTGACAAGGAATTTTAAGTCAGGATGTTATGATGTCAATTTGGAATATGTAGGTACAGTGCTTAATGTGCGAATTGTGGGTTCACGCTGCTTGTAGTGGTTATGAGTGCAATGTGTATAACTGTGATTATTCTAAGAACAGTAACTAAGAACACTGAACTACAACTTCAAGCGAAATACTGATTTGTGATTATTATGACTGATTACTTAATAATTATAAGCTATTTTGTTGAACAGATTAATTACCAAAGACTGAAAAACGGTTGCAAAGTTGAGAAATTCATTAGTTTCTTAGAAAAGGTGTGAACAATTGTCAAAAAAGGGATATTATAATTTGGAATACTGTATTCCAAATTACCTGCACTATAAGTAGAATTACGCTTTTGGAGTTTTTTATTTTGATAAATATGTTGATGGTGTTCCTGGTTTTTGTTTTGTTTGATTGTGTATACCATTGATTCCCAAAGTGGTCTATATCGACCCCTAGGGGTCTATGACAACCTGCAAGGGGTCTACATCAGCGAAAAAAAATTTGGTGGTCCATGAAATGAATATGGGGGTCCACGATAGTGGATCTCAACACATACACTGATATTACTATTTACTTACATCATACTATCTTATAATATCAAAACATATACATTATTTATAAAAGTACCTATGAAGTAAAAAATTTATTATATATTTATTATATATTATAAATTGTGTAAGTTGTAGGATGTTGGTATTCGCTTTGTGGACGCAATACATTTTGAACTTGTAAAAACCTGAGAGTCGCAGTCTCAGAGCTTCGCTACCTTGCACTGACTTGTTCAATTCGTCACTCTATACATACGAATGTGGGGCAAATACGTTTATTCGTTTCCTGAATCTTGAAAAGGAAAGTGCTAAGAAAATATTTTAAAAAATATAAACAGAGAGTATATCACACAAATTATAGTGAGTCAGTGTTATTTTGTTTGAGAGTGCTGGAGAAAAGTAAGTACATTATTTAGCAAAGATAGATAAATTACGCCAACCATGACTTTAGTTATTAGTAGGTAAATATTCAATCATGCAAAATTACACTAGTACTCCTCAATAGTTTCTTTTTGAAAGTTTTAGCAATCGGTAATATGATTACAGTGCAATCTCCGTAATTCGAGCTAATTGTTGCAAGAAGATGTTCGAATTATTGAATGTTTTCGGAAAAATCAAAAAATATTTTTAATATACAGCTGCTGGATTTTCTGTCTTATTTAAATAATTTAATTTTGCCCACAGATGACTGATGCCATGTCCGAATCTAAAAAGAAATGTAGACAGTACAGTGTTGATTATTTGAAATTTGGCTTCATTCCATCATTGCCGGACAAACAATCGCCTATGTGCCTTTTATGCAACAAAGTTTTGGGCAATGACGCTATGAAACCATCTAAACTGCAAAATCATCTGAGAAGATGCCACCCTGATAAAACAGAGAAAGATTTGAAATACTTTCAAACACTCAAAGATAAATTTCAGAAGAGACCTACACTGGACAGAATGTTCGCTTCAACGTCACAAAGAAATGATGATGGTTTGCGGGTGTCTTACAATATCTCGTTACTTATAGCATAATTCCGGAAAACCGCATACTATCGGAGAGAAGTTAATTTTGCCAGCCGTTGAAGAGGTTTTAAAAACTGGTTTACACAAACCTGCATCTGATATCACTAAAAGAATTCCCTTAAGCAACAATACTGTTGAAAGACGTATTGATGAAATGAGTTCTGATATTGAAAGCTTCTTATGTAATTATTTACAAACGACCCATTTCTCTATACAACTGGACGAGTCAACTTGACCTGATAATGCAGCATTATTATTGGCATATGTTCGTTTTATTATGAATCAAGAAATCTACGAAGAACTGCTCTTCGCAAGAACTTTGATAACCGACACTAAAGGTGAATCAATATTTCATGTTTTAAAGGATTACTTCATTGAAAAAGCAATTCCTTTATCAAATATATTATCAGTAGCTACAGATGGAACACCTGCCATGGTTGGACGTTATCGTGGATTTATAAGCTATTTAAAACAAAATGTGTCAGGGTTGTTAGCAATACATTGCGTCATCCATCGACAACATTTAGTTGCTAAAAATTTGAGTGTTAGATTGCATGAATCACTTCATTTGGTTATTGATGCAGTAAACCGAATCCAAAGCAACGCGTTGAATACGCGGTTATTTGCGCAGTTGTGTGAAGAAAATGACGAACACTTTCATCAATTACTCCTTCACACTGAAGAACGCTGGCTGTCGAAAGGCTTATGTTTGACAAGATTTTTTGCACTTGTTGAGACTATTTTAGAATTTCTGGATACTGAAGAGGAAAACAGACATGGCCTATTTAACAAATTTGTTTACAAAATTTAATATCGTTAAATTTGCAATTACAAGGCGACAGTTTAAATTTGATTAAAACAAAGTCCATCTTATCAGCGTTTCTTGCCAGAGTTAAACTAATGAAGCAAAACATTGGACGGGGCGAATTTTCTCAGTTCCCCAATTTGTCACAGACAAGTTGCCAGGAAGACGACGTTTCAACTTACGTTCAACATTTAAATGCCCTCTATTCAGATTTTGAATCTAGGTTTGAGGATATTTTGACTATGGTAATACCACCGTGGATAATTAATCCATATGGTGACATAGAAGAAACGAATGTCATAATACAAGAGGAACTGACTGAACTAAGTACAAACGAAGAACTTGAGGTTCAGTTTAAAAACGGATATCAGCAATTCTGGCTGCAAAACAACATACGCGTTACTTATCCCGTATTATGGAATATAGCGAGGAAATTTTTAATTTCCTTTCCATCGTCATACCTAGTAGAAAGGGGGTTCAGCGCTGTTACCAATCTCCTAACGAAAAAAATAAACGGACTGGGCATTATTAGCCGAGGAGATTTAAGATCCTTCTCACTAAAAATATTGACCTATTGCTTATGTTACTTTATTTAGTTTATTTTATGTTTATTGGTGTTTGACCAATAAATACCCGCATTGGGAATAAGTGCCCCGCATTGATTTTTTTAAAGAACCCCCTTTATAGAAAATATTTTTTTTTAAATTATTCTGAAAATTCAAGGATAGGTACACACTAAAATTCGTTAGTTTTTGCGTATTTTTAGATAACTTAAACGTATAAGAAGCGGAATTTAATCAAACTAACAGTGAAATTATTGCAGAACATACGTTTATGTTATAATTAATAAACGAACTCGCTTATATTACTATTTTAGGTAAAAAACTTTTTTTTATTATTTTTCACTTTTTTTTATTTTATCCCTCTTATTTTTTTTTCAATGCGGGCACTTATTCCCAATGCGGGCACTTATTCCCAATGCGGGTACTTATTGGTCAGACACCTGTTTATTTAATGTTACGTACATTTTACATAACAGATACAAAATTTTAATTTGAGTAGTTTTAATTTGAATTCAATTAATAAATGCATAAATTAACATGTGTTTTTACTTTAAGTTTTTAACACTAAACTTCACCACAGTTAGAAATTTACAGGAAATCAATATCAGGTAAGTAGGGGGTCTACCCAACACGGAAAAACATGGCAAGCGGTCTACGACACAAAAAAGTTTGGGGAACTCTGGTTTATACCATTAAAATTTAATAATTTCCCAATAGCATTTTTTATTTTGTTATCCCGATTATCTTGCAATTTATTTCCGAAAAACAAACCAGTACTACAAATATACTGCAGTTCCTCTATATTTAAAAAACAGACAACCTTCAATTTTCATACTCGGTTATCGTACTAACCCGCACATCCACCATTTTTTCCACTCACTTTTTTAACAAGATCTCATACAGTTAATAGTTATTATGTCAGACCAAAAAGATTATTACTACTAAATATTTTGTCATGCCTAAAAGATTGTAAAACTTTAATAAAAAAATATAATTTTCTTAGTCAGGCAAAAACGCAATCCGCCATAGTAATGTGATCTGGCGTAATACAATTTGTAATTAGCATCTGACAGTAGGATAACCTCTCAGACGTATGAGCATATAGTCATGACTTCTACTAGTGTGCATGAAAAATATTGTAATTATCGTTATTGTACGAGTATCGTCCGAATATGTAAACACGCATCGATAAAGACCCCAGGAGAGCTGTGGATTAGAATGCACAGGGAAATAAATATACGCAACGCTGTGCAATGCTTGGTGCGTACCTTATGTTCGCGACAAATTGTGAATTTTACTGTGCAGATTTTATCGTCTCGTTTGAGAAGGACGTATTTTTTCTTTTTACATCTATCTCTATATCAGATGTACTGTACTTACATAGAAGTAGTGATATTACTCAGCTCAGTAGAGCGAAAATCTAGGTTGACAGCAAAAAAATTACCAACCATGTGTCAAGTTTCGGAAAATTTGTGCTTTCTGCTTTTATGAATCCAACGTCCATGATTGTAATTTCATTACAACGAGAAAATGATAACTTTCTACGTTGATTAGAAGTATTTTAGAAATATTTAAACAAGACAACGTTAGTCCACGAGTGACATACGGATGACGTTTCTTTGTTTACAATTTGTAAGACGCCACATCATGGCCGACAGTGTTTAAACCGTTCCTAATTAAAAATAAAAAATATGTTTTTTCTGTGACGGGAAAAAAGTTTGACATTTTATCTCTGACAGGTAACAAAATGTCACTTTTTATGAAATTACTTTTTTCCCGGGAAAAAAATGAGTACTTTCTTCCCGGATGCGATTTAGCTGGCAATAATTTTTGTGATGCTACGTTGGCTACTTCTACTAATTCCGGTGGAGTCAAATAAAACTCGGAATCAGACATTTTTTACTTTATAGTATTAAAAATAACTTCTAGGGAACCACTAACTTCACAATTTTTAAATCAAATGACAAAATTAAATTGACCGCTATTTGATTACTTTAAGTTTCCTTAGCAACGCAGGTCTAATTGTCGCTGTTAAGTACAACATAGTCTACTAATTTCAAAATTCAAATATCACATCGATAATTTTTTGACTCAAATATTGTGATAATATAATTTTTCAATATTAAATCGTCGTTTTTCCCGTCACAGAAAAGAATTATGCATTATACACGGGAAAAATACTAGATTTTAGCTTTCGGTTTCTTTCCCTTGTATAATAAATCCCTATTTGTCCAGTGGACATGTATATCCCTTTTGCACCTTTAACAACTGAAAGAGATATACGAGGGATGTCTTTCAAATTTTGCATATTGAAATAAAACAACACGGTAGCTAGTTTTAAATGACTTTATTGTTTTTCGAAGTATTCTCCACGAAGATTAATACAGATCTGTATGATGCGCTCGAACCAATTTTCGAAGCACTTATTCCACTCGTTTGCTGGCAGATCCAAAACGGCATTTTTGAATGCGTCAACAGCTTCTTCTGGTGACTGGAACCTTTGACCACGCAGTCTGTTTTTAATTTTCGGGAAAGTAAAGGAATCGTTAGGACTTAGATCGGGACTATATGGAGGATGGTCCAATAATTCCCGTTTTCTTCCGTTAAGTACTGCCTTGTTTTTTGGGCTGTGTACGAGCTTGCATTGTCTTGGTGGAGGATGATTCTTCTTTCGGGGTTGATTTTTCGAAGCTCGGTGATGACTTTTGGCAAACAAATGGTGGTATACCAATCCGCAGTAACAGTTCTTTGCTCATTAAGAGGAATTGTTGCAATATGACCCGCTTTTGACACAAATGTCGCGATTATCTCTTTCAAAACACTTCGAGAACGGATGACTTTTGTTGGCTTTTCTTCACCTTGGAACACCCACACAGCCGACTGTCGTTTATTTTCTGGTTCATAACAGTAAATCCACGATTCATCACCACTAATAATGCTGTACACATTCTTTGAGTTTCCGGAATTGAAACGGTCAAGCGTTTTTTGACACCAATTAACCCTGGCTGCTTTCTGCTATTCAGTCAACAGGTGGGGTATCCAACGAGAAACTAATTTTCTTACTCCTAATTCTTCATGTAAAATTTTTTGAATTGAGGTCTTTGAGACCTTCAAGGACGCCTCAATCTCGCGATATGTCACATGTCTATCTTCAATGATGAGTTTGCGCACAGCATCGACGTTTTCCTGGGTGACTGCCGTTTTTTGTGCACCCACCCAGGGATCGTCAGTAAGACTCACCCGTCCACGTTTGAATTCTCCATACCAACGGAGAATTGTCGACTGATGTGGCGCTTCAGTGCCGAAAACAGACAGTAACTCAGCAAGGCATTCTTGTTGCGATAATTGTCTCTGAAAGTTGTAATAAATCATGGCGCGAAAATGTTCTCGGTTGAGTTCCATTTTTCTAATGACTTGGTGACACTTAAAAATTCACTGTAGTGAGAACACTGCAGGAATTGTTGTGAAACTTTGAATTTAAGTTTGCTAAAGAGCAAGGTTAAGATTCAGTACTGACGTTCGACCGCGCGGCCTACTATGTTTCTATATGCAAAACTTAAAGGACATCCCTCGTACAGTCCAACCCGCTTATAATGGACTCGGCGGGGCTGTGACAAATAGTCTACTATAGGCGGATGACCATCTTAAAAGAAACACTTTTTTAATGAAAAATGCGGCAGAAATAACATATTAAAAGCTTAAAATGTTTGTTTAACATGTATTACATAAATAAAGATACATACCAAAAAAGTTATAGGTTATTTTTAAATTTGCATCTTTTCAGAATCTGATACATACATATATTACAGGCATACGTACTGTATAGCAGTGGCGGCTCGTGCCAATTCAGTGAGGTAGTGCCAGCATGGAAGCCATAATTTTGAATCGATTCAAAATTGTAAAGAATAACTTATAACTTACCCCTGATAGTTAGTGGTCAAAGTTCTTGAGGTTCAATAAATCTATATGTCCAAAAAAAAATCAAAAATAAAACTATTTACACACGCGCACCAAATTATAAAACAAGTGTGGAGAAGTACCTATAACTTCAAAGTTTTCTATACATGAAGTCCATTCTTCTTTCTTTTTGGTAGCAAAGTTTTCGATTACCTTATTATTAAAATTTTCAATGCCACTAACAAAATGTTTTTCTGCAGACAGCATTCCTAAAGCACTAAGCCTTTCTTCCTTCATTGTGTTTCTGAGGAAAGTTTTAATCCGTTTCAGCATTGAAAAAGAGCGTTCTGCTTCAGATGTTGACATCGGTATAGTGATTAAAATACTTAAGAGCTTAAGAGTTTCTTGAAACGTACAATTTAATCCTTCCTCGTTCAATAAAATGGATAGTGGAACAGCTCCAGAAGTAGTACTCAATTCTTCTCTCTGATATAATACTTGTAACTCAGTTTTAAGCCTGTTTTTGTCTAAAAATGAAAATTGTGTGCATGTGTCATTTAAATGTGCTTCAGGAAACTGATGTTTATAAACAGAAAACTTTTCAGACACAAATAAATTAGAAGCAACTAAATGTCCAGAAAAGTTAAATCTTGTTCTTATTTGCGATAATACTGCATCGCATATTTCTAACGCATCCCGTTTTTTGCTGCCTTCTTCAACTTGCCTTTTTTTTCTTGCCGGTTCATCAGTTTCTCTCTGCACTCGTTCAATCTCGTCAATAATGCTATCCATTTGTTCTCGTATAGTTTGAATTGCTGCTTCAAAATTCTCTAAATCATTTTTGACCTTAACAGAATCGGTGCATACTTTTTGTAATTGGTTAAAGACAATTTCAACATGTGGCATTATTTTATGGAATATACTTAGCCAAAATACAAAATTTGTATCTTGCAGCTTTAATTTGTACCCACTGGCTTGATTAATCGACGAAGAATCGCGTGAAGTACTTTCTATATTGTCCATAACTTCAATCAGGTCTTTCCTATTTTCATAAACTGTATGAACACCTCGTGACTGAAAATTCCAACGTGTTTGGGAAGATCTTGGCAATCTGCAATT